AACATATCCGGTTACCGTTGTCTGCGGTGGCATTGATGGAGCATCTGAGGAAACTGATATTCTTGGCCGGATCTTTGCCGGTGTCGTTGCTTATAGAGGGAATCGATCATGCTATAATACCACTGTAACCCCTAGTCAAACAAGTGTGGGGTGGAGATGGCAAGTAAGTTGCATCGGGACTAAAATTTTCAATTATCAGAAATCGAAATATAGTTATCAGAAAATTGAACCAAACAGATTCAAGACAACTTACAATTTATCTTTTATTGAATTATTATTTGGTGTATTTAGATATCTAATGAAATGGTGATGCTTTTTAAATTATTGGCTGGTGCATTTAGACATGTAGTGAAATGGTGATGCCCATTGGTCGTGATAGCAATGATACTATGTTCCAACCTTCACCTTTCAATTTAAATGACTTCATCAACGAGTGCAAGGATTCATATGGTGTCCCACCAAGACCTCATTGGGTCACAACCTATTATGGAGGCCATGTATGTACTTTTGTTTGATTTTTTCTTAATTAATTATAGACTTATTAAATAAGTATTAGAAGGTATGATATGCATTTCCATGGCTCATTGTAGGATATAAAATTGGTTCTCCAAAGGTTTGCCAGCAACATCATTTTTTCTAATGGACTGAGAGATCCGTATAGTAGTGCCGGGTATTTGAAAAAGACATTTTTATTTTTCATTTTTTTTCGTTAATTAAAAAATAATATCAATCAATTAGTCTAATTGACCTAATATGCTTATTTTCTCTTCTCTGATCCATCACAGGGTATTGGAGGACATATCTGACTCTCTCCTTGCCATCTATACAGCGAATGGTATATATGGACACTATCAATCAGACCAAACAATTTATAGGGCTTGCATGCATAATTAATACACAAAGAGAAGATCCAGATGATATCCATCACTTTGTGTGTGTGTGTGTGTATATATATATATATATATATATATATATATGCTTGTTTACCTGTTCACGGGTGTGCAAGGAATTTATGCACGAATTAAATCTTAACCGTTGGATATAAAAGAATAAACAACCTTTTTAACTGTCCAATAGAATTTAACGGTTAATACTTGAGATCTGCATACATTTTCTGCACACCAGGAAGCAAGTGAACAATTATGTGTGTATATATATATATATATATGCATGAATACTTACCCATCTAAGTAAAAATAGTACTAATATTTCAAAAGACTTACACTATCTACTTAATTTGCAGGATCTCATTGTTTAGACATACTTGGAGCAAAGGAAACCGATCCAAATTGGTTGGTCAACCAACGACAGATAGAAATCAAGATCATTGAAGGATGGATCACAAAGTATTTTGCTGATCTTTATGCAATCAAGAAATAGAACATCAATTGTTGAGCATTTTAGCAATAATAGGGAACTAATGTTGGTGTAGAACAAAACCATTTAGCCTATATATGTATCCAATTAACTGTCACCTCAAATTCATTATAAGGTTTTAAAAAAACTATACAATTATGTGGAAAGTGGCAAATTGTCAACATTTTGCTCAAAAAAGACTCTTACTTTTTCCTCACGAAGTTGGCCCTAGTCTTTGGAACCCCTCATGATGGTCCCTCACTACTGCTCAATTATATACATTACCATTCATGGTCAAAACCGTCTCATCAAATTGAGAAGGAAATTAAGTACTCAAATAATGGACCAAAAATTGGATTTTTCTTTGGAAATGGTAAAACTTGGACTTGAGATATGAAATGATTTGAGAGTTGATAATCTCTTTGGTTGAAAACTTGATGAAGTTAGTGATGTTAGGGTCACACTATTTCATTTATTGGTGTTATCTTTTTTACTACAAAAGTTTAGAGTTGGAATCCTCCTTGCTATAAATAAACCCTGCTATACTCTACACTTTAGGTGGACTATGATCCTGTAATGTAAACGGGTCATGTTATGCCTCTGTTGTAGTATAAATAACGTCGAGGTATGTTTATTAAAAAGGTAATTTAAGAATGAAACGGAGTAACCAACGTTGTTAATGGTAAATTATTTTAAAAATAAAAAATCAAAATACACACTCTCTTTTGCGGTCTCCCTCATAAATCCTTCGGTCCTTCGCTCTCGGCCCTCTAAAGTCAAAATACACAACGTTGTGTGCCAGGTATTTCTGAGCGCCTAAAATTAAAGTGAACAATACTGAATAATATGGTTAAGGCAAAAGTTATATCTTGCCTGCTTCGTTGTTGTTTAACCTTCTTCTTCTCTTGAACGGTCTTCTGCCGACCCTCATAAAAACCAAAATCATCCAAGATGCAAGTTTTGCTGGTAAACTCTTCGAATGTTTTTAGTATTTGAAGCCAGAGAAAAGAACTAAACGAAGGGACTTGCCGCGGCAGGGAAACATACCTCTTGAGTGTCCCTACTATTAGTCACAGGTTTGCTATCATTGTTCTCTAGGGTAAAATGCTTCAACAAACTGTTGGGTACATCTTTAACAATGTGCCACTTAACAGAGAAGTTACCATTCCATTTGTCTTGTTGCATGTATTCAACATTCTTGTGGAAATGAACTGGCCCCAACATCTCTGCAACACCAACAAATTGCTCACTAGCATTGACCTGGACAACAATTCAAAACAAATAGCTTAAAAACCAAGCACACAATTGGGAAAATGTCATCCTATGAAAACTAGCTGTATCAGAATGCTTGGAGAAGAGGAGAAAAGAAAAACAGGGCAGCCACTTGATATGCTGCATCAGGCTTTTTATTGCCATTCGGTGTGCTAGCCCACACATTGTACTTGATGCTCTTGGGCACATCATCCTCGCTATAGGACTAAATGATGGAGAACTTGACATCCATATCGGTATAATTTTCAGAGAAATCAGCTATATTGTATTATTGTTCGGAGTCACAATAGTCATATATATCCTTCTCATCATCATTGGTTCCATTTAATTTGGAATCCTATTTAGATATCCATTACCCATACTCATTCTAGATATTAGTTTTTGAGCAATCCCAAGAAGAAGATGAAAAAGATATTTATGAGCAACATGGTAACAATAACTGACAGAGTGTAATTTTATAGATATTGTCGTTGTTTCTTTACATTTCGTTCAAAAATAAAGAAAAACATGCAAAGACTAAAAAGCATTCAGATAAAAATTAAAAATAATTGATAACAAGATTAAAAGTTGTTGAGGTAAAGATTAAAATGTGTTGAAAACAAGATTAAAAGGTGTTTAGGTATAGAATAAAAATTTTGAGGAAAAAATTAAAGTTATTAAGAGTAAAATTAAAAGACGTTAAGATAAAGATTAAAAGTGTTGAGAATGTGAGATAAAAATTTTGTAATTGGCAAATTTCAGTGTCAAAACAAGTCCGATTGAGTTGTACTTTTATTTTTTATTTTGAGTTTCAAATTCGGAAGCGGAATTGAAGTACTAGTAACGTGTCAATATACTCCAATTCGGTGAGAATGACAGATTAGAAAAGGTAAGTGTGTCATGACACATATTATTCATCTTTGGTAAGATTTTAGGGCTAAACACTGAGTAAATATTTTCAATTGTAAGGACTCATATTTTAAGGTTAGATATTTTAGTTTTATTTTAAAAAGATGTTGAGAATAAGATTAAGAGATATTAAGAACAAAATTAATGATGTTTAGAACAAGATTAAAAGGTGTTGAGGTAAAGATCAAAAAGAATTGAGGTAAAGATTAACTTGTGTTGAGAATAAGATTAAATGGGATTAAAGGTGTCGAGAATAAAATTAAAATGTGTTGAGAGCAAAACTAAATGGCATGGAAAACAAGATTAAATGATATTGAGATAAAGATTAAAGGTATTGAGTACAAAATTAAATAGCGTAGAGGTAAAGATTAAAGGTGTTGAGAACAAGATTAAAGGGTGCTGAGAATATGATTAAATGGCGTTGAGGTAAAGATTGAAGGTATTGAGAACAATATTAAATGGGATGGATAAATGGGCAAACGTCCACTCGTTTTAGTTAGTATCAGAGTCCACTTGTTATAGTTGGTATCAGAATCAGACTCAGTCTTTAATTCGGTATCATGCCAAGCAGCCCTCCGGGTCTGGCCCAGGTAGCTAAGGTGGTCCGACCGCAACGACGACGTTGCTTGGGTTCGGGTCGGAGAGAATGTTACAAATGGGACTTCTCCCACATAACGGTCAAAAGTAGGTTATAAACATTTGAAAATGTTCAAGTGCCCTAAGAATATGCCAACTACCAGAGATCATGATTAAAGGCATCAAAGTGACCGGCCATTAGACAACCAGCAATGACGAAGTAGATGACTATCAGAGAGTAACTATAGAAGTGGCAGAGTCCTTGGTTCTCTCTCCATTGCTTGGAAACTGAAAAGTCTTTCCGCAATAGAGGCCCTCCCCAAACCACGCACTAGCAGGAACCTCATGCACTCGGCTGCTACTTCATTTTATTTTTTCTCCCTAGGAAGACGAATCTCAACAAATGGATAATTTCTTACTACCTAACAACTCCAAGATCGATCGCACAGGAATAACAATTCTTCCAATGTCCCATGCTCGAATCATTTGGACTCTCGCACAAAGTGTTCAAACAACAAAGAAATAATTAGCAAGCAAATGGACAACCAAATGGCACATGGGTTCCGGGACTACAAAAATAGCAGCAACCTTTAGTACCTATAGATACTCAGTGGCACCTAAAGGGCACCAATGTAATCTCTGAAAATGGAACTTTACCGTACCTATTATCTCTAGTTCTTGGCTTTTTTTGTGCCAATTTGTTTGTGAAATGAAGCATAAGAGGCCTTTTGACCGTAAACATGCCGGCCAACATTACCTGAAAGTTGAGTGCCTGGTTATAAAGAAAACCAGAGTACCTGTTACACTACTTTTTGACTGTTAACATGCTGATCAACACTACCTTTTGACCTTTTGACATTATGCCACCACATTGCATGGAACAACACTTCAAAACACACAGAGAGACCTTTTTACCCAAATTCAATTGGGTCATGACCATTGCATGCCCCCGAATATAAAGAAATTCGATTACCTGGTTACATGGAACAACACTTCAAAACCATTACAAAAATAAAAAATAAAAACCTTATCACTGCGCTTGCTCCAAGCCAATAGTGCAGCAGATGAGTCACAAGCCAACCAAAATTGGATAAGCAACTATTTCACAAGCTATTACATAACATAAAAGAATTATCACATATCATGTACAATTACAGATTCCCCTTTCCACCAGGCCAAATAAACCAGATGTAACCCCAGAGAACTGTAGTATGCATGGAAGATCGCATTCTCGGTTATGGTAGATGGAAATATAACTTGGTAAAGGTGTGGAGGATATCAGCAATAAAACATACCTTCAAACAACTTGTGCAGGCACTGGAACGGGTAAATCCCACTGACGAACAGTTTTAATTAAAAGCAGTTTTGGTCAGTCAATTGAAGTTCCTACCCCTCATCAGATGAACCAAATCCAATCACACCCATGAACTGCAGCAGGTTGTCTTAAAAAAGGAATCCTTTGATGGTTCAAGATGATATGGGTTCATATGGGTATGACAGCCATGGGTGTTTTAAGGCCTCCGCTGCTGAAGGACGATTCTCTGGGTTTATTTCAAGTAGATGAACAGCAAAGTCGATGAAACCCTGGTCCCCCATTGGTAACCGGTGCCTTAAGGATGATTTTTTGGGAATTAGATATTCCAGTTTGTTGGTTTCCTGAAGATGGTAAGAAACATGCACCATTTTTAATTAAAGAGAAAAAATATGCCTACAGATACTAGTAGAACAAATATTAATGCATTTGCTTCACACAGTTGACCTGTGTACTGGAAATGATGGAAACACGAATGGAACTGAAAATATCGGAGAAAATATAAAATCCTATTAACAAAACGTCGGCATTTATCCAATTAGATATTTAGATCCAAATTTTAACTAGTAGAACTAAAGAAATACCCATTTGGTAAAAGATTTCAATCATACATTGTGTCTCCTGGTGCACATGAAATGTTTAAGACTTTAAGTGCAGAAACTAAGGCTGCAATAGGAAGTACATTATTCCACTAGTGATTGTTTAAGTGCATCAATTGTCATGCCGTCATGGAAAACTAAAAATTCTGAAAAAGACTATTGGGGCGGGTGGATGTAATTCTAAAATATCCCAAATTTGTTGCTGGTTCCAAAACATGTGAAAATATTAGAGAATATTGGATAGGTTACAACATTGATCTGACAATTTCTGAAGAATTGTACTCATTGGAGGGCTTAAAGGAGATGTGGATTAGAATGCTCCTACAACAGGGGTTGGACCCCCTCTTGCTCTAGTGAAATTCACCTATTAACTTATTAAGAGGAAGAAAAAACTGGCCATAGAAATGAAAAGAATGACATTTGGTATTTTACTAAATATCATGCTAATCAGACCAATGTAAAAAGATAAAGTACCCAAAATGAACCACAACTCTCATGCCTTAAAAGTTTTTGAAATGTAAAAATGCCGCAATCTATAGCTATAAAAAGGGGCTAATACAACAAATGTGTATCTTATAAACATATCAAGATTGCTCCATCAATATAAACAAGAATTGTAGAATATATGTAGCCAAACCAAGTAGTTGGAAAAAGGCTTTGTTTAGTTGAGTTGAGTTGAAAACTGTTACATCAGTCACTAGACAACATGCAGAAGAAATGAAAAAAAAGAAATCTCACCAAAAAAAGTTGACCAATAATGCAGCTGACAGCATTACTACATCAAAGTATCAAACTTGAGTGTGCAGACATGTATACATACGTTAAAGGGGCTATTGTAGACAGCAAAGTAATTAAACAAATTTAAAGTAAATTAAAAAAAAACATAGAAAATATGCAAAAAGAAATAAGTAACATGCAATTTAATCAGGTTTGCAGTTCTCTTGTTGGACACCAAATCACAAGTAATGTCCTTGTTGCATAGCAATGGTAGAATATAACACAAAAATTCACATCAAATGCATTGAAAAAGCTAGGTTGTTAACTCCTTAACAGTCACAAAATATAATTTTTTTTTTCCAATATATGTGTGTGTATATATATATAGGAAGGAAGATAGAAAGATAAAAAAAATAGAGATAGATTATTACCTGGTTCCGTTCATAAAGCATGTGATTTTTGGTGAAGTATTTGTACGTATCTCGACCTTTGGCAAGCATATCTTGGTCAATAGAACCTATTATTCCAATTATCCGAGCAAGTAATGTAGCGGGTGAATCATTTTGGAAGAGGACCTACACCACAAGAATCTTCATTTATGATTTTTGCAGCGGGGGCCATGAATGCCAAAGGCAGGGAAAATTATCATAAAAAAATGCAAGGTCATTCAAAAGATTCTCTATATATCATGCACATCAGGCGATGAAAAAAAATCCTTTCAAGCAAACAATAAAGAGAGAACAAATGGAGAAACTCAATGCCCATTTAGATGGTCATTTGAAATAAATGAACAATCAAAACAAGTACAATTTTTATCAGCATGTCATTCAAAGAAATACTACATCACAGTAAGTTTGATGCATGACAAATTAACATACAATTAATAACAATTAAGTGAAAAATCCAAGATCTGCATGCTACATCTCAGGCATCACTTCTTAAATTCTACCCGTTGAAACTTTGCCTCTCATCATTGCCTTGGGTGTTTGGAAATGCCACACAATAGCGTAGGCTGTTACATCAACATAGCTTCAGCGGTATTGAGCAAAAACTTGCTCACATGGCAGTAAATCGACTTCTGTTTTCAAAATGGTACATTCTAAAAACAAAACAAATGCATTTTCATCATGGGGTAACTTTGAAGCAAGGACAATGAGGACACGGATACAACATGACACAAATTTGTTGATACAAAAAGCCTAAACATATAACAAGAACATATGTTTTATATATATAAATTGTTTGACTAGGATAAGTTAATCAAATATTTTGTAATTGTAACATTAAAATCGTAGCTTACGTTGAATCCTAAATTCATAAAAATCGATAAATGCATTGGTCCATAAACAAAGCGAAAGAAAGAACACAGTATATGTCCATGTTTGTATATAATACCTGTTGACCTAAGGGCAATCTAGTAATTTTGATGATTACAAATTATTAATGGTGTTTAGGCACTAATGTCTACATTGAGTGTTGTGCTAGATGATCACATTTTCAAGTTAGCCCTCAATGAAGCAAAGACATGTTCCAAATGTTCCAATGCACATGAAGACATCAATGGTCAAGCAATGGACATAGAAACGACTTGAAGATGCAAATGTCAAAGCTTGAAGCATTCACAGTTGACAATAATCAAGAATGCATCTCAATGAACAAGGAAGAAGCCTCAAAGATCAAAGATCAATGCCAAAGCATGAAGAATGGGGTATATTCCTTGGGAGGATTCAGGTGGATGGAGTGGAGTTGTGTACAGAGAAGGAGGTGCATACGGGGATTGATTATTTTTACCAGAGACTCTACGTGGAGCCGTTACAGTGGAGACCTCGTCTTGATGACCTTCACTTTGACTCTATTTCTCCATTTGATAGGGATGGTTTGGAAGTTCCTTTTTCAGAAGAGGAGGTCTTGAGAGCGTTGAAGAGTTGCAATGGTGACAAGGCTCTGGGCTCGGACGGATTTACTATGAGATTTTTGTCGGATAGTTGGGAGGTGGTGAGATATGAGGTGATGGGTACCTTTTATGAGTTCCATTCTACTGGGAGGTTCGAAAAGTCGTTGAATGCATTTTTCATTGCTCTCATCCCTAAGAAAGGGGTTGTATCCGATGTTAAGGACTTTAGACCTATAAGTTTATTGGGTTGCATTTATAAGCTTATTGCTAAAGTTCTCGCCTTGAGATTAAAGGAGGTTCTAGACGATGTCATCTCAGAGTCTCAAAATGCATTTGTCTTAGGTTGAGTAGCAGTAGGCCAAGAGTCCTATGCAAGCTCGATATTGAGAAAGCTTACGATCATGTCAATTGGAATTTCCTATTATATTTGTTAGGGAGGATGGGTTTTAGGGAGAAATGGAGGTAGTAGATTGAGATGTGTATCTCTACTGTTAAATTCTTTGTTCTGGTGAATGGGTCCCTATCAGGTTTTTTTGGAAGCTCTCGAGGATTAAGACAAGGGGATCCCCTTTCTCCTTTCTTAATTCTTATTGTTATGGAGGCCCTTAGCAGATTGATGGGAAGAGCAGTGGATTTGGGTTATAAGGGGTTTCAAAATGGGACCGGATTCAGGGCAGCAGATGGATATTTCTCATTTACTTTTTGTGGATGATACTTTGGTTTTCTGTGATGCAGATGTGTCCCAACTCCGTCATTTAAGGTGTGTGTTGGTCTGCTTTCAGGCCTTGTCAGGGCTAAAAGTCAATGTGGGTAAAAGTGTGCTTGTCCCTGAGGGGGAGGTTTCGGAGGTGAATTCGCTTGCGGCAGTTCTAGGATGTGGGGTGAGTTCCTTTACGATTTCTTATCTAGGGTTACCTTTGGGTGCTTCGATTAGGAGGGTGGAGGTTTGGGATTCAGCGATTCAGCATTTCAAGAATAGATTGGCCAGATGGAAGAAACAATATATGTCGAAGGGGGGAAAGGTCACTTTGATAAGGAGCACCTTGTATAGTCTCCCAACATATTTTCTATCCCTCTTTCAAATCCCGTGCACTGTTGCTGATAGATTAGAGAATCTCCAACGGAATTTTCTTTGGGGTGGAAGGGGTGATGAGTACAAGTATCATCTTGTTAGGTGAGAACATGTTTGTAGGCCGTTTCATTTGGGGGGCCTTGGTCTTAGGAGGATGATCCCTTTTAATAGGGCGCTTCTTGGGAAGTGGTTATAGAGATTTGGTAGTGAAAGACATCATTTATGGAGGAGGGTTATAGAGTGTCGCTTTGGGGAGAGGAGAGGGGGATGGTCTTCCAGGCCGGTGAGATCTGTTGCCAGCGTGGGAGTTTGGAAAACTATTTGTAAGGGTTGGGATGAACTGTCTAAGCATATTAGATTCAAAGTTAGGGAGGGTAGGGATGTTAGGTTCTGGGAGGATTTTTGGTGTGGGGATGTCCCCATGTCCCGGTTGTTTCCAAGACTATTTAGCATAGCTGTGGATAGACATGCTATGGTAGCTGACTGTTATCAGCTTGATAGCGGTAGGCTTACGTGGGATGTGCATTTTCGGCAATCTTTCCAGGATTGGGAACTTGAGGATGTCCTTGGCTTGTTTGATCTTTTGTATAGACAGGATGTGGATGGTAAAGGGCTTGATTCCTTGGTTTGGAAGCCTTCTCCTCAGGGGAGGTTTGATGTTCGCTCTTTTTTTCTGTGCCTCGTTGGTTTTCAAGGAACTAGTTTCCCGTGAAAGACGGTTTGACGTTCTAAGGCTCCTCTCAGGGTGGCATTTTTTGTTTGGACTATGGCTTTGGGAAAAATTTTAACTCTGGACAATTTGAGAAAGAAAAGACAGATCATAGTCTATGTGTAAGAAGGATGGAGAATCTGATGATCACCTTCTTTTGCATTGTCCTTTGGCTTATGATTGTTGGAACCTTATTTTTGGTTTGTTTGGTATTTATTGGGTTATGCCTCGGTGGCTCATGCTCGGGACTGTTGGAAGGTGATTCCCCTTTGTGTTTGGTGGAGCATTTGGAAAGAGCGTAACAAAAGATCTTTTGAAGGGGGGGGGGAAACCCCCATTGGGATGCTGAAATTTTCTATTATTAGTTCCCTTTTTTGTTGGGTAATGGGAAGAAATTATGTATCTCTAGATGAGATAGTGGACTTTTTGGGTTCTTTGGGTCCGTAGGACTCTATGTTTGGATTTCTTGTATTTTTCTTTGGTTTTTGTTTATTCTTGGGATGCGTTCCCCTCTTGAATGCTTTCTAATACATTTTATTTATCAAAAAAAAAGAAGAGTGTTTAGGATTCAATGTCACCGTATTTTTGAATCTTTCCCTGAAGCTCACATCTATAGGACCATGCATAAGCATTCAAACTTAATATTTGATCCTTATACAACCTAGAAATAGATCTTGAACTTCATTAATACACATACAAAGACCTAAATCAATTCCAAGGCCAAAGATACCTTCAAAGGGTCTATTTTCTAATGTCTAAGCTCAACCAGCCGACTGGTTGACTAATTTGAGCCAGCTGGTTCATCCAAAGAATTGAGAATTGATTGGAGAAGCATTTCAGACGACTGATACATTGTATCAGCCAATTGGTACTCCAAACCAGCCAACTGGTGTATGCCAAGTTTGAATTCAAACGGCTAGTTTTGCATTTAATGCATCCCCAACTACCTCCAATAGCGCTATTTTCTGCATTATCTCTCTACATATATGGTTGGGGCATGTATGAATGAATATACAAGTTGTGAGAAACATTTATTAGATATTAAGAGCATTCCTTTGAGCATAAATATACTCTTCATTCTCTCACTCATTCAATAGACTTGAGCTTCAATTTGAGATCCATTAATACTCTAGTCTTGTGAGCTTTGATTTGAGAAATCTATCTTTGAAGAGATATACATTATACTACATTCTTCCTACAACTCTATTTTAAGGATTGGTGTGACCCAAAGGGTTGGTTTGACCCAAAGTGTAAGAGAAGGTGGTTCTCTTAGCAAGAAGGAAGGAGGAGCTAGTTAGTTTCTTTTAAAAGTTTGCTCTCCACCCGAAAGGAAAAGTCATAGTGGATTTTGGAAAGTTTCAAGAGCGATCTTGAGCCGAGGAGTAGGAGTTCCGAACTTTGCTAAATTGCCAGTCAATTGTGTTTAATTTTCTCTTCCCTTAACTCATTTAAATTGTACTTACTTTGATTATATTCATATCTTTCTTATTGCACAATTTATATTCATTATTGCATAGTCTTGATGATCCTTAGAAATCAGAACATTTTCCATTCTTGGAGAGGTTGTACAGTGGAGAGCCGAGTCAGAGATGCTTGGAGGACTACTCCCCTTTGTATATGGTGGGGTTTGTGGCGCGAGAGAAATAGGAGATACTTTGAGGGAGAGGAGTCTCCTATTTGGGCTCTAAAGTATAGTATACTTTCTTCTTTATTCTTTTGGGTAAATGGGCGGGATTGTAATTCAATGGATTGTCTTTTGGATTTTGTTGATAGCTTAAAGCTATAGTGTCGTCATGGACGGCGGTTGTCTTCTTTGGGAGCACTCGCCTTTTAAGCATTTTCATGAAATCTTTCTTATCTATCAAAAAAAATAAAAAAAAAAGGAAATACATCGATTAAT